TTTTATCTGTGATTTGTTAATACTTAAATCAAGTATTTTTAAGGTACGTAATAGCTATCACTAAGTCATTCATTGCCAACTCAATCACGTTCAATCTCAATTCACATACTATGCTAAGTATTTGCACAGAATGAAGTAAACAGTTCTCTACAATTAAATAAGAAACTGAAACTTAGTGAGGTAAGAATGGTTATGCAGCTAGCAGGCAACAAAGTCAACCAAGAAATGAACTTTAAGCATTACAGCACACTACATTTTCTCCTCAGGAGTCACTTTTCCAGGTCCTCTTATCTGTGGTTTCATTTTCTAAGATCAGCCAAGTGAGAAAGTATTATATGATAAGTTCTCGAAGGGAGCGACGTGTTCTAGGTTGTACACCACTCTGGGTCATGGTGAAATCTCACACAGTCCTGCTCCCTTCTCTTTGTTAGAAGACAAGCCGTCAGGGTGTCAGGACCCCAGTGATTGTGTTCAAATACGATGACTAGATCATTCACCTAATATCACTCTGCACCAAAAAAAAAAAAAATACTGTTTTTCTGCTCCTAATATACCACAATCAACAAAGAAGACGCCTTTGACCTCAAAAGGTATGGAGATGTCTCCCCACAAGCAGGCAGTGGACACCAGCCGTGTCCAGCAAATCCAGTAACTTTGACACTGGCTGGAGATGCTCAGATCACACATGTCCGGGGATCAGTCCCAAGACTGTGCCCCAGCCTCACCCTTGAAGATGACAGTCACAGGCTCCAGCTTGTTTTTACCTGTCTACTGCCTACAGCATGAGGTGCCCATAACTCTCTCCTTAAATTAGAGTAATCTACTTGAGTGGCTCACAGATCCAGGGAAATCCTTATAGTTACCATTTTATTATGCATCATTACAAAGACTTTAGATGAAAAGATACACATGGTGAGGTGTGGTAAAAGGGGTGTAGAAATTCAGTGATGTCCTTCATTGTCCACTCTCTGAAAGCTTCAATAAGCTCATCAATCCGGAGGGTCTCTGGACCTTGTCTTTTTGGTTCTTATGGAAATGTAAATCACATCGGCCAGATTGCTTAACAGGCTGCACAGAAAGACTCAGCAATGCCTGGGTTTATCTATTCTCCTGTATTTCTTTCTTCTAGGATGGGGCAGGATCCCTCTGGAATGACAAGTGTCTTATGATCTACTGTCAGATAGGGACAGGTCACTGTATTAAAGAGGCTTGCTATAATCATTATATTTATGATAAAACGTATATCCTTTCCCACCACTACAATTTCAAACAAACAGATTTGCCTAAGATTTCATTCCAAAATAAAAAAAAATGCTTTAGGCATCTGCTTGATAAGTTAGCCATTTGTTTGTTATTTGTTTGTTTGTTTGATACAGGGTCTCACTGTGCAGTTTTGGCTGGGCTGGAACACACTATGTAGGCCAGGCTGACCTTACATTCACAAAGGCTGGCCTGCCTCTGCCTCCCAAGTTCTGGAAGGAGAGATGTACACAGCTATGCCTGGCTGCATTTCTTCATTTTTAAAGCAATCTAGTAGAAGTCTTTTTTTTCATAAAAAGTAAAAGACATTTAAAAATATTTTATGTTATGCATGTGGGTGTTTTGCCTGCAAGTATATCTGTGTACTAAGTGCATGCCTAGTGCCCTCAGAGGCTAGCAAAGGGTCACAGACCCCTCCGGAACTTGAGTTCCAGACAGTTGTGAGCTGCCATGTAGGTGCTGAGACTCTAACCTAGGTTCTCTAAAAAGGGCAGCAAGTGCTTCCAACCACCATCTCCCCAGTCCTATAAAAGACATTTTCATTAGCAAAATATCCAATTTTCTTCCCCCAAACAATAGTCTATAATTTCTTTGGGCATCTATTAATTTTACATTGTGCTCATAAACCTCATAATGTTTTACTTCACTAGAGAATAGAGTTCAAATTCTGAATACTCTTTAAAATGCTTTTCCCAGTTCTGGCTGGGGATGCAACTCATTTGGCAGAGTGCTTATGTAGCCTGCAGGAAGCCCTGAGTTCAATCCCCAGCATTAATAAACCAGCCGTGGTGCTGCGTATTTGTAATCTCATCACTAGGGAGATAGAGGTAGGAGGATCAGAAGTTCAAGGTTATTCTTGAAAGCGTAGAGAAGTTGAGGTTTGTCTGTGAGTCATGAAACCTTGTCTCAGAAACATTTTTCCCTACATCAAATAACTGAGTACCAACTAGGAGTTAGACCCTTCATTCCTGTTATGTATTAGCCTCATTAAGGAACTGTGGCCAATACGTCTGATCAAAAGGAATCACTCACAACTTAGTAACGGTACAGTTTTTGAGACCTTGCCCCACATCAATGGGATCAGAATCTGCAGAGGAGAAGCCTGTACATCTCTGCTGTTGTTGTTGTTGTTTTTTAAAAAAAAATATTTATTTTTTCCTTTTGTATATGGGTGTGTATATGGATGTGTTGCTTGCATGTATGTGTGTGCACCACGTGTATGTCTGGTACCTGAGGAGGTCAGAAGAAGGGGTTGGATCCCCTATAACTGAAATGACTGATGATTTTAAGCCACTATGTGGGTGCCGGGAATCAAACTGGGTCCTCTGCAAGAACCACAATTATTCTAAACCATGAGCCATCTCTCCAGCTCCCAAATCTCTGTTTTAAGTGAGGGCCCCGAATGGTTTGGAAGTCTTGGGAAATGATGCCCTAAGTTTTGCCCCAGTCCTGTGCAGGACAGGATGGCTGGTACTTTTGAACACTCTGCCACCATTCCCACTTGGTGAGTTGGAACCTAACTGACTGTCTCTGAATCTCTCCACAGAACCACATCTGTACACCCCCAGCACATCAATCTCTGCAAGCTTCACTTTCCTGTTCTGTAAATTCACTGCACGGGCCTTTTAGGAGTATAGTGAATTGATTCGTGTGAAAGGCCTAGTGTAAGCCTTGTCAGTCGACCGAGTCACTCTGTAGACTTAGGCAGTTCTCCTGATGCTTCTCCATGATGCATTTGTTCAGGTCCAGTACAAACTTTACAGCACAGCAACAGCTCTCTTTTTAGATAGCCTTCCAGATACATCTACCCGAGTCAGAAGTCCTTTTTTTCTATCTTCACTCAATCAAATATTCCATGCATATACATGTATGTGTATGTATGTCTATGCATAAATGCCCCCAAATGACAGTCTCCTAGAGACATGATGATATGAATAGCTGCCCCTTCTTTAAACTTCTCTCCTTCCACAAACTTGAATCACAGAAAAAAAGAAAGAAAAGAAAAAAGATCCTCCATCAAAGTATATTATAAAAAACTCCTCATAGTAGACACTCCATATGTCAGCTTCCTTGACTAATTAAGTTCCATCTGTTAGCTTAATAAGAGAGAGAGAGAGAGAGAGAGAGAGAGAGAGAATATGTATGTGTAATGACCTTGCTTGATCTTTTATACAGACCTACATACAATATAGCAACAATTATTTTTATTCTTAATTTGGGGGGATGTGGTATTAGAAAATTATGTCTCTAACTTTATTAATTTTTAATATCCTTGTATGTGTTGGGGAAGGATGGAAAAAGAAAAAGACAATGGCCTCAGGACCTTGTGAAAATACTCTGTTAGTCCAAGGACTTAATAATTAGAAATCACAGGAAAACTTGTAGTACATCCTCATTTTCTATTTTTGACCACATAAAAATTGAAGCCCAAAAATGTTTAGTTTAACATGTAGGAGACACAAGGTCCCAATTTCCATAGATTACCATCTCAATTGGGCAAACAATTCAGACATAAAATACTCCAGATAAGAACATAATTAAATATTTACCACTGTTAGCAGGCTCAAGGGTTCTTTATTTAGTAGCTGGAGAAGCTAACAGTGAGGGATAAATGAAGACAGGGCTACGGTAGGTGAGGTCCAGTTAAACCACAGGGCATGAGTTTATGTAAGGGAGCTTTGTTGGGAACTAATCAATATCGCCCTAAGTGTGAACACAGGAATATGCTTTATGAAATGAGCAATAATAATTTTTTAAAAAATATTTTAAGGTGATTTTTAAAATGGTGATAGGTCAATAAATATTTAAAACACTGTGACTTTCCAAAATTGAAGATAGAATCACAATATACAAAGACACTCACAATGCTAAATTTATGTAATGAAGTTACAGTCTGAAATTTTAATTTCCTCATATGAAATTGGAATCCCTTGTTCATACGTACAGTACTTAATTGTGATAAGATCATTTAAATGAGAATAGAGCACAGAGGAGGCTCTAGAAGCAGGCTGGTAGCTCAGTGGCAAAAGGCTTCTTTATCATGCATAAGACTGTAGGGTCATTCCTCACTTCTGCAGAAACCAAACAACGGGATTAAATTATTTCCCATTTGGTCACCCAGTAACTGAAGCAGATGACACCCCTCGAGCCCCAAGCCCATTTCATCCATTCTTGCTTGTCTTCATTCTCTATCTCTCCTTCCAAACTATAAACACCTTTGTTGAGCTGTTCTGCCACCAGAGACCAGGATTGGCCAACCAGAAGGTTGGCAGTCCCTTAAAGTAGAAATGCCCAGCCTGGGGAATTACTGACGGCCCACGACCTACTGGTGAAGAGCAAAGAGGAAGCAAAGAGTAGACGACTGCATACATGCGTGCTGAAAGCAACGCGCTGCCTTTTAAAACACTGTGACATTGTAACTTGCACAGTCCCCTGCAGTGATGGCCAAAGGCTGGATAATGCAGAAGTGCCGTGCTTTCCTTGGCCAGAGATTGGTGTCCTTTGAGTCTAGACCTAAGGACAAATTGAATGTGGACAAAGTCAGGTTTCTCATGTGAAGACAGCGCTAATAATTTACCCACCACATGGTGTTGCTAAAATTCAAATGTGATAACCCTTAAATGTAATGTCTCACTGTTTAAAAAATAACGCAGTGTATATTTTATACTGCATTTTCCTAAGCTTTTGATTTTATCTTCATTTATTTTAGTTTTTACTTCCAAGTTTAAAAATGATATTCTAAACTATCTTGGCCTTTTGGCTAAGATCAAGTGTGGTATCTGTTCTTAACAGTTTAATATCCGATACATCTTCTATTCAAGGACAATATATTAAATGGAGTTTTGAAATTAGGAGTTGGAATAGGAGCTTCTCTATCCACTCCACGCATCAACCTGGTATTGCAGTACCTTCAGGAATGGTGCAAACAAAACAAAACGAAACAAATAAACAAAACCTCCAAAACAAACAACCAAACAAACAAAAACAGGACTCTGTAATTAACAGGGCATACGTTTATCTCAGAGAGGTCTACATACTTGATTCATTTTGCATACACACGTTTTTGCTGTTGGTAAAAGTATAAACTTCAGATCATCCGGTATTTTCGCCTGTCTTCCGGCTTAGGTGTCCATAGACCGTGGCTCTAATCCAGTGTCATATATTAGCCACTAGGCCCGGGACAAGCTGACTTTGTTGAATGTCTGGGAGTCTCTAAGAAGAGCCTTTCACCTGTGTTTTGTTTTAGGGCCCAGGAGGTGGAATTACTAACATCATCCCTAGTGTTTGCTGTGACATTGTGTCCACAGAGTGCTGCCGCCTGATGCTGTGAGTCTCACCTACTTTACAGGACGAGTTACTGTCTCACTGTTCAGGACTCTGCCCCAGAAATGCTTCTCCGGAAGGATTAAATCCACTAACCGCGTACATAAGCTGCTTTAAAATGTTTGGAAAATACTAATATATAAGTACGTTGAATAATCAAGATGACCCCCCAAACATTAACTTGCTTAAGTGAAGATAACTGAGAGAAGCAATTCTGGAGCTTTCCTACTGACTCAGACAACCTGACCTTTGCCCCCAACGCAGACCAGCTGAATTCTTCGCTGCATCTTAGCACTGGCATGTTTGGCTTTAGTATCTTTCTCAACAGTTAAGCAATTCAGTACTATAGGTTCTGAAAACCATGTTTGCAATTGGAAATACACAAGTAATTAATAAACCAATAACCACGAGACCCAGCTTTTAAACTTAAACATAAAAATAAAATGAAATAGCCCACTATTTTCTTCAATCTGAGTTTCCTATGGTCCTGGTCAAAAATTTGCCAAGGTTTTGCGGATAACTTACAAGCTACTGATTTCTTTTTATTCTTCAACAGTTTCTTGTGCATATAATGAATTTTAAGCTATTTAATACCCCTTTATCCTGTCTTACCCCTTCCCTGCTGAAACCCTTCTTCTCTAACTCTCAGCCTCCTACTTTCGAGTCTGTGAGTGTGTGTGCAACCCAGTGGGCTTAAATGGGGTTGTCTACATAAGCAAGAGATGTTCCGAAAAGGAAGACATAGAAATGTTGCCAATACAACTTTAAAGCACAGATTATGCACTGGTCTGGTTCATGAGACTGACAATAAATGGATGGATATGATTTAAAGGGTGTTTCTATTATATCCATACAAACCTTTATATGTGTCAGCAAAAAGATATTTGAAAAGTACGAATGTGTGTGAGGATATATCCTCATCAAGTGAGAGAGAAACTTTGATACAAGGTTTTAAACAGGTGTTTTGAAACACACAACATGACAACAAAGCACAAAATAGTAGAACACAGAAAAATCAATGCAATATGAAGATGAGAAGACTTTGATAGTTTTTTAAAAAGAGCCATGGTCCTGACAAACTGTGTTTCAGAGCCCTCTGGGCTGCCCTGGCAGATGGTAGCAGTTACGTGTAATGCCGACGGAGTGGCTCTTGGGTCTAATGCTGAGCAGGTGTATTCCGGAAATGCTCATTCTGAAATGATCACCCCCAGGCTGAAGACACCAGTTTAAACAGTTTTAACATTTTCTTTTGCCCTGCTTCATTCAGGCAGGCTTGTGCTTTGGATTTGAGGCCCCGTATTGTTAATCAGTTCAGATTCTTTTTTTTTTTTTCTATTTGACATTTCAAACAAGAAAAATATGAGGAAATTCTATTGCAATGGAGTCTTGTAGAGTTTAAAATAAATTCTCATCCCAGCTAGGCCAAAATCACGCTGTGAAGGATTTTACAGTGAGCACCACTCGGGGTCACTCCTCAATTGTAATTCTGTCAAACGCAAGGGGGATTGTCCTTGAGAATTTAACTCCTCCTTAACAGTATTTCATTTGACATGGCAACAGTTGTCTAGCGGGGTGCAGAACGGGGCGCAGAAAATTTCAAGTTTCAAAAGACAGCTCTGGAGTCAAAGAAATCCGATTTTAAAACCCCTTGCACAATGCCCCCTCCCTCACACTTTCTGCAGCTGGTTTTGTACAAAGACTTAAAAGGGTCGCTTGAAACGTTTGCAGATGAGAGAGCTCACGTAAACGTCCCTGGCAGATATTTACTAAGCTGGCTTACCCGTCCTCACAGCAAACGTATTCAAGAGAAACTTCATTTACGTGTTAGCGAGTCCCCCTCCCATCATATCTCAATAAGATCGGGACTTCCGAGTCAGCAACGTTAACTGTCATGCATTTCAGCCATTCACTCTACAAGTCAAGTTGCACCGCGTGGATTCCTTTCTCACCAATAAACTCATCGCCTTCAGCGTGGGTTTTAATCTTTGTGAGTCTGGTTGGCATAAAAGACAGGGTTGAACACGCTGATGGAAAAAGTTCAGATTCTCTTCCTTAGGAGAATAACTCCTGTGTTGTGTAGTTAATGTTCCGCAGCGCGTAGGGGGTGGGGTGAAATTAGGTTTGTTAAAACAAATTTTTTTCTAATCTCAACTCACAAAGCCCAGGCAAAGTTCTCAGCTTCCCTCAACACCCCCCCCCCCCCGGAAAGTGCAGAGCGTCTTGAGAAACAGCTTTGGTTACACATGGTCCTCTTGGAGCCTCACCGAACCTATTGGTGTGGGGCTGGAGTCTCTCCGACCCTGGACAGCACAGACTCCCGGAGGGGAGCCCTGCACCTAGGCGAACCCAGCCTCTGAGCCCAGCCCGACCGCACCCTGGGAGCCTGCACTGACCTGTGTAGCAGGACGCGCTGCACCGAATCCAGGTCCTCCAGGTTGCGGGGCGCAGGCTTGGGAATGCTGTTCTTACCCCCCTGAAACATGCCCGTGGGGAGCCGCCGCGATGGCGAGTCTCAGGGCAGCGGAGGATGTCAGCGGGTCCCCCGCTCCACTAGGGTCCTGGATAAAGGACACGAATGCCCAGGTGGCACTGGGGGTCCCTGTGTCCCGGGGTCGCCAGGGGGAGCAATCGCGAGGTCTCTGAAGGTGGGCGATCTAGTGGTGTCCCCCGGATCCCCGGGGTCTGGGTGCCTCGCAGTCCCTCTCTGCACCCGGGGTTCCTGCGACCTCTTCAGGCACCCAGCTTCAGGGGCACTCTCTTGCCGCCAAGTGCGCGCTCCGCGCCTCACCTCGAGTTCACGGACCTCAGGCGGCCCCAGTCTGGGACACCAGTGTCCAGGCACCGCCCCAGGGCAGGACGCGGCCACCTGAGGCCACCAACGAGCCGGGCAGGAGGAGGTGCTTGCGGGACGAATGAGCCGGCCCTGTGGCTGTGCCGCAGACTGAGAAAGTAAGTTAGGAAGAGGAGACAGATGCCCCTATGGGTGGGACTTTAAATCCTTTAACCATATGCAAGCTGGGTCGGTGGTGCTCTTCTTTTCTGTACTCGGGAGGCTGAGGCAGGAGGATAGTTACCGGTTGGAGGCCAGCCTGCTCTATGTAAGAAGAGCCAGGTCAGTCAGGGCTACATGCAAGGCCCTGTCCCGAAACAAACACGCAAAAAACTAAACAAGAAACCATATATGAGTGAGTACAGTGTGAAGGGTGGGCGCAGGCCTGTCTGACATGGAGTCTTTATACTCCTTGGGAAATAGCTTTGAAATGTACTTGCTTTCAGTTGTCCCTTGGTTTCAAAGCAACAGGTACCCTTGCAACCCGTGGTAGGGGTTCGAGTAGGGGGAGGGAGACAGGGAGAAAGGGAGAAAGGGAGGGAGGGAGGGGGGCGGCGGGCGGGGGGGCGCGCGGCCCCGGGCGGCAGGCTGGGAGGTTCTTGGGAGACAAATGAGCTTGCCCTGTGACTGTGCTGAAGACTGAGAAAGTAAGCTGGAAGAGGAGCCAGATGCCCCTGTGGGTGGTACTTTAAACCCTTTAACAGGGGAGGGGGAGGGAGGAAGAGAGAAAAGGAAGGAGAAATGGAAGGTTAGCTTAATGTTCAATGGGGGATGAGGGTTGGGGATGGGGGATGACCCACAAGAGACGTCAGGATCTTTTCTGAATCCGTCAGAATCAGATAGAATGGTAGAGAGAAGGGATGGAGAAATTGGAAGATGTTTTCAAATGTGTCGAATCGGTGATGACGTAGACACAGACTAATTGTAATTGACAATAGATTAATTTTATACTCCTGGTTAGGTGGAACTTCGCTTGCTTTGTAGCCAAGTCATCACGTGTAGGTTGTTTTTCTCCTGGGAGAGTTTCTCTTGTTCTGGCTGCTAAGTGGGTGAAGAGAGTGAAAGAGAGTGATTTCATCGGAAGGCATAGAAACCTCTACTCCACTCTGCTGCCTGCAGTGTTTCCTTGGCTTGTTCTGCACACTCGTCTGGTGTTCTTCCGCCGAGTACCAAGGAAGGAAACAGAGAATGTGATGCTTATAAACGTATAATTTATCAGAACGAAAATCTAAAAGATAAATTTCAATAATGAATGTTTTTTAATGCTCGTTCATGCAATGATGTGATCTGAATTCATAGAATGCAATTATATGAAATTTAAATAGAATGTTTGTTGGCAATACAATAATTGATTCAAATTTATGTAAATATTCAAGGTGCAAATTTGTATGATCAGTTTGTATTCGTTATTTGTCTCCTCGCTATGACAAAAGACCCCACAAAAGCAGTTTAAAGAAGAAAGGGTTTATTCTGGCTGATGGTTGGGGAGGACGGCACGGCAATGGGAGCCTGTGGTGGCTTGTCACATGGCGTTCCAGTCAGGAAGCAGAGGGCCGTGGGGGTGATGCTCAGCTCGCTTTGTCCTCTTACTGGTCTCCGTATCCCAGGACAGTCTCTCCTTCTCATTTCCAGGTTTCCAGGAAACACACCTCAGACATGCCCAGAGTTGTGTTTCCATGGTGATTCTAAATGTAGTCAAGTCGTCAGTGCGGATCATTGATCTCACTGTCCTTTGCTAGCCATGGAATTGGGGTCTCTGATGCTGTCATACCTTGAT